AAATTAAATATGACCAAAACTCATCATGAAAGGAGTTGCTTATGTGCTCTAAAAAAATTGAAGTGCTGAATTTACTCAACCAACTCATGTCAGCTGGTTCCACTAAACCAAGTTGAGTAAACTGAGCAATGTACATATTTGGTTTATTTACTCTGCTAGGTTTAGTGGAACCAGCTGACATGAGTTGGTTGAGTAAATTCAGCACTTCAATTTTTTTAGAGCACATAAGCAACTCCTTTCATGATGAGTTTTGGTCATATTTAATTTTGTAACAAGTAACTAGGTGTTAAATTTTAAAGTGAACAAGTAAAAATATCATTTTTAGGTTATAAACGTAATGAACTAAAAGTAAAAACGTTTGATAAAATTACAAAACCTCAAAAAATTACTTCAGTACTGTCACAAAGTAAATGTACATAGTTGCTATAAAACTCTCTCTCTATATATAAACTTCTCATATTTAGCTTTGTGCAACGTGTTGTAATGGCAACCCATATTAAAATCCTTCATGGCAGACAGCGTCTGTAAGCAGACTAAACACATAGGTTGGTCTTGAAATTCTGTGAACAGAAAAAAAACATTTTTTTCTTTACTTGAAAAAGCACTCAAAGCAGATTATAGAATCTAATGCACTTATAAATCTAAAGTTTGGGGTGTGGGTGGGGCCTCATGGACTGGAGGGAGCCAGTTGCCCATCCCTGATTTAACTGAACTAACATACTTGTGTGCTCTGAGGAAAATAAATCTTTTAATGAGCCAGCAATATTTGTACAAGTCTGATATTTCAAAGAAAAAAGAAGTGTTTTAGACTAAAATCATCTTATTTTGAAAAATCAAATTGTAGCATTTACATCAAACCCTGAAAATCGTAACATGCAATAGTGAGCCGGCATGCTCATAGAATGTGTTGTAAAAGACTCTCAGCTACATCAAAGTTTAGCTCATCTATACAATTGAGTAAATTATAGTCAGCTGTATGTTTGCTATGAAGTGTTGGCTGTGGTGGCCATCTTGGATCAGGATGGCTCCAAAAGATAATCAGTTGTAAAGTAAATCCAACAATTACATTCTGCAAATTTCATTAAAATATCTTCAGTGGTTCATGAGTTGTTTTACTAACAGACATGAATAAAAACATCACCTATTTTTTGCCTTTTGTAGACAAGTGATAAATATGTGAGCTTTTAAGTTTAAACTCTGCATAAGTATGAAATACTGTATATAATATACCATTATCTGATATAAATGGTAACTGAAACTATAATAACTTTACACAGTATTATAGTATTTACTGATCAAGTGAACAAAATCAGCACAGTTAAAATAAATGTAAATTAATCAGTTACAGATAGTCAGATTATTTTACTTTCACAGTAAACCTAATGCAAATGATAAAATCTTCAAAATCCAAACATTCAGACACTTGATGAACACATTTGTATGTTTTTAAACACTTTTCTTKCTTTGAATGAATAAAAAGTGTTCCAGCAGCAGGACTTACCTGAGGAAAGGATCCATTCTGCAGACTGCTGAAAAACGGCACAATACCCGACTCTTCAACCAAATAATCCAGAGCGTCTGAGAAAAAATAAAATAAAACATTGATTAATTAGACAAAGTACTGAGGTACACAGATTGGTGACTTTTTGTCACGTTGGGATGATTTAGAGCACTCACCGTGCACTTCATTCACCCCGGAGCTCACCAGCATCACAACCAGTGCCACCACTAAGCAGCGGTTCATTGTCAGCCCCTTCCATGGGTTTGGAACGTCGCTTAAGTTTTCAATGGACAGAATTCTTTCGTAAGACACTGTGAGAAGACACGAGAAGTCAAACACTTCAGCAGAAGACTTCTCACTCAGATGGCTGTTTCTCTCTCGACTCACTTGTGAGGTTCTCTGTAGCTGTTCCAGCTCAGACCATCGAGGCTTGATGTTCTATGCTCTATAAAAACATGTTTGTTTAGCAGAACGCTTGTACGGCCATGTGCACTTTCATTTTAACTGTCCTACAGTCCGTCAGGGCCTAAAATAGACACCTGCGGCTCCTAAAGAASACTTACATAAGGCAAGTCTCACATATAATTGCGCAAAAACTAAAAGAAATAAAAGACTTACGGTGTTTTCTCTCTCAGTTGCACAGATTTGAGGGTTATTAAAGTTGTGATGAATCTTGTTCTGTGTCCGGTCCCACCCTGCAGCTCTGGGGCTACTTGACTGACAGGCACAGATGAATGGGTGTAGACAAAAAAAGGGAAAGTGACATTCATAATGTGCTGTGTGTTAAAGGCCCTGTCACACTTTAATGTTTTAGACAACTTGTGAAAATCTTGTTATGACTAAATCACACTTATATATTTGCATATTGATCTCATCTTTGTATGAAATGTTTATAAACTTAGCACAAAAGGAAGGAAATCAGTGTTTAGCAGATTATTTCTTTTTTGTAACAATGCTTCTTGACAATAAATCTTACACTGTAAGTAAGTAAGTAAGTAAACTTTATTTCTATAGCACCTTTCACAGACACAAACATCACAAAGTGCTTCACAGAAAGCAAAAATAATTAAAAACAGAAAAACAGATCACAGATATAAAAACAACAATTAAAACACAATAAAAAGCACTTAACTAAAAGCCTGTCTGAATAAAAATGTCTTAAGATGTTTCTTAAAAGAGTCAGTAGAATCTGAGCAGTGAAGGACAGAGGGAGAGCGTTCCAGAGCCTCGGGGCCACCACCTGAAAAGCTTTGTCTCCACDGGTTTTATAATGGGTTCCAGGGACCACCAGCAGTATTTGATTAGAAGACCTCAAAGTCCTGGATGGACAGAGAGGCTTCAGAAGGTCCAGGATGTATTTGGGGGCCTGACCATGAAGTGCTCTGAAAGTTAAAACTAAAATTTTAAAATGACTCCTCAAAGTCACAGGGAGCCAGTGCAGAGAGGCTAAAACAGGTGTAATGTGGGCTCTCCTGTGGGTCTTTGTTAATAACCTCGCTGCAGCGTTCTGCACAGACTGAAGYCRRGTCAAGGAGGATTTGTTTAGACGTGTAAAAAGACTGTTGCAGTAATCTAAACGAGAAGAAATAAAAGCGTGAACAACCATCTCTAGTTCCTTCTGTGACACAAAAGATCTCAGCTTTGAAATGTTCCTTAAATGATAAAAACAGTTATGAACTAAAATTTTACAATGACTGTCAAAAGACATAGAAGTATCAAAGACAACACCCAGATTTCTGAGACTATTTTTCACTGAAGGGGTTAAAAAAGCAAGGTGCTGCCTGATTACAGGGATTTTATCATCAGGAGCGATAATAAGAGTTTCAGTCTTGTTTGCATTTAACTGCAGGTAGTTGTTGTTCAGCCATATTTTGACTTCTGACAGACAKTTACTGAGTTCAGATAGTTTGAAGARCTCAGAGRGTCGAAAGGAACAGTACAACTGTATGTCATCAGCATACAGATGGTAGGAYACATTACTGTRACATTTTAAAATACCTCCTAAAGGGTACAGGTACAATAAAAAGAGGATTRGACCCAAAACTGAACCTTGGGGTACCCCACAAGACAGCGGTGCACCACAAGACATTGTTAGAAAGTCTGTTAATTTCCATTTTAAATGATGCCACATTTGTAAGGAACATGCATTTGTGGGATGAGGAGTATGAGTATGTGGGTTGCACACATGGAAACTTTACCAAATCTTCTATGCTAAACAGCTTAGTTGTTGTTTCACTCTTGTTTTAAGTGTCTGGTACCCTCAGGTGCTGCAAATCATGTCTCCGGTATTGTATTTATCTCCAAGAACACTTGTTACAACGAAGAGTTAATCTACCAAACACAAATTTCCTTTTTTTTGTAAAGTTTATACAACCAAAAGAGCATTTAATTTTGTGATTTGTGGTGTTGGTTTTAAAATCCCAGCCACCATGCTACAGGACTCAGACTTGTTGCTGCAGATGCACTATAGAAGTATCTGAACTCCCTCAGTTKAATTCTTCATATTCCTTTTCCACAGACCCAACAAACGCACCCATGATGTTTACGATGAGAAACCTTTCTCGCCATCGTCTTGGTTTTTGTGACATGAAGAGCAGAGGATTGCTGCACTCCACAAATATTCTCGTTCTCCTTACCGTCACTTCTACCAAATACATTTCACCAACACAAATTCATCAGAAATGTTTTCGCAGACACTGACTCCAGCTAAGACTCTGAGTGTACCGAGTTAACAGGAACAAACACAACTTTGTTGTCTCAGCGTTAAAAACCATACGTGGGAACTCCCCAAATGTCCAAACTGAAACAGTTTTATATCGAAACATCCAGCTGGCTCTCCACAACTTCTGTTTCCTTGATGGGATTGTTACATTTATATACCACACTGTCCTTGCTGTATATGCTGGTGAGGTCGATTAGTGAGTCATTTGTCTGGTTCATTTCTGTCAAGCAGTTTAATGTCATCCATGTAGAGGAGGTGGCTGATGACTCTGTTGTGACTCKGTGTGGTGTGGCTGAGACTGACACAGGTTGTTTTTAGTCTAGATAGAACAATGGGGATGAACTTGTTGCAGTATGTTTCTATCACATTTTCAGATGGTGCTTTATCGTTTAGCCTTGGCGTGAGCTGCAGGTGACCCCTCTAATCAATGAGTCAGAGGCAGCACAATGGAACAGTGGTTAGCACTGATGCCTCACAGCAAGAAGGTCCTGGGTTCGACTCCCCAGTTCAGGGGTCTTTCTGTGTGGACTTTGCATGTTCTCCACATGCTTGCGTGGGTTTTCTCTGGGTAATTGGGTTTCCTCCCTCAGACCAAAAACATCTACTCCCTTAGAAAAGAGATCTGCGATCTCAATGGGACTTGCCTGATGAAATAAAAGTCAATAAAAATATAATAAAAAAGCTTTTCAATGGGTGGATGGTGGGGAGTATGATCCCCACCGGGGCCGGTCCTAGCCAATCTGGTGCCCTAGGCAAGATTTCAGGTGGTGCCCGTGTGCAGTTTTTAAACCACACTGCCAAATTACATTCACATACCAAATGACATAGTTTTTGTCTTTGACATTATTTTTTATCTTTAGAAATCAGGTTCTCTAAATAAAATAGTTAACAATATAATTAATTTGAAACAGAACACCAGAGGTCTACCCATACCTGCCAACTTCTGCTGACAGCAAAGAGGAACACCTGTTCGTGTTAACCATCAGCTGTGGAGTGAAGCAGTTAAAGGGTCCAGGGGTATGCTCTACTCAAAACTCTGCATTTCCCAGCCATTTCAAGGACATTTTATTAAATTCTTGGGTTTAATAAAACAACATAAAATCAGTATTTTATTTTTTAGTATTTTATATTTTATGTTTTTAAAAAGCTTGTTCCTAAGATGTTTTTGAGTCAATCTGGACATTGAATATAACAGTTTTTTATAGTTCCCACATCCTTCCCTTAACCTCCCTCTGGACTCACACAGTACTCAAACAGTTTTAAATCCTCTGACCTCATTCTCAGTGTTAATCTAGGCAATCATGGCATCATCACTCTCTCTCTCTCTCTCTCTCTCTCTCTCTCATTATGCAACCAAGGCTGCTCAATAGTTGGCTGTACCAAGGACTGAGGATTCAAGGAACAACAAAATGGATCTGAGCAGAACCTTCAGGCTCCTAGGTCTCTGATAGTGAAGGGAAACAGCCATGTGCTTAAAAAAAATTTTTTTGTGTGTGTGTGTGTGTGTGTGTGTGTGTGTGTGTGTGTGTGTGTGTGTGTGTGTGTGTGTGTGTGTGTGTGTGTGTGTGTGTGTATTAGGGGTGCAACAATACATGTACCCGTGTTGAACCGAACAGTGCTTTAGGTTCAATACACACTTGTATCGAACAATACAGATTTTTGAAATTTACTTTATCAACTTGTCTTCTGAAGATGCTCTGTGTTAAAGAATCAGTGGATCTGTGTTTGACTACTCCACCTAGGCTACATTTTTGAGGGCAGATCCACTGAGAAACTTGCTGTTTCAGCAACATTTAATTTAAAAGCGGTACTTTTGAGGTTAAACAAATGTTCATAATTAATTTTAAAAAAATTACAAGTTAAAATGGGCATGGAAATTTCTCTTTTTTGTATCGAACAAATATCGAACCGTGAGACTAAAGTTTCGAACCGAACCGAATTGTGAATTTTCTGTATCGTTGCACCACTAATATATATACAAATCCATATCCATAGTACTGTATGTATACATTTGCCAAATAGAGTTAATTTTTTAACTTTGTTTTTCTTTCAAATCCAAACTGATCTAATATACACTGCCTGGCCCAAAAAATAGTTTCCACCACAAAAATGGTCACACTCTAATATTTCATTGAACCGTCTTTAGCTTTGATTATGGCATGCATTAGCTGTGGCGTTGTTTCAGTAAGTTTCTGCAATGTCACAAAGTTTATTTCCATCCAGTGTTGCAATCATTTTTCACCAAGTTTTTGCAGTGATGATGGTAGAGTCTGACCGCTGCACAAAGACTTCTCCAGCACATCCTAAMGATTCTCACTGGACTCTGTGGAGCCAGTGAGAYGTCTCATGCTCCCTGAACCGCTCTTCCCTGGCATTGTCATCATGAAATATGCCCATCCGGTAAGAAAATAATCCATTTATGAAATAACCTGGTCATTCAGTGTATTCAGGTGACCTCATTCTTTGAGCACATGTTGCTGAACCTTGACCTGACCAACTCTGCAAACCCAGATCATAGACCTTAGTTAAAAACAGGTGGTGACTTTTTTTTTTTTTTTTTTTTTGCCAGGCAGTGTAAATATCTATAACATGAAGAAAGTTCATACAATTTCTACTTAATCTTTGTAAAACATGAGGATAATTCAGTTTGAAAAACAGATAATTTGGGATTGTTTTATGCTAACATTTTTTCCCTTCTCCAAAACTTAAAAAATAAAAATAAAATAACACTTGTTTCTGGTAATTTATCATGTGAAGGGTGGTGATGTGTGGTTAAAACGTCACTCAGAACAGGACACGCCCCCTCACTGACAACTGAACCGCAGCTTTCGATCTCTTCAGTATCAGGACGACCAGGAGAGGACTGAGCTGGCCGAATGGTTAAATCTAACCTACAGACGATTTTGAATAGTCATTGTTTTGTAAGAGAAAAAGAAAGAAAYTTACCCGAAATGCCTGTCATGGAGCAGTCCAGTAATAATTCGGAAAGGTACGTGAGTGTCATTTGTTGTAATAGGACTTAAAATGCTAAGTTTAAAACCCGCGGCCTAACCAAAAATGCACGGTATAATTCCTGGAATGGCTAGTATAATTCATGTTGTTCACGTTGGCAGTAATAATATATTTAATGTTTTCACGAGCTTGACATGCACTTTTTGTTTAGTAAAAACTTGTTAGATTTTAATAATTTACCTGAAGCACTGCGTCAGATTTTTTTTACATGTAATATAAGCTGGTTATTAAACAAATAAGCAGTCAGTAAACGGTGTCGTTGATTTATACGCCTGTTAGCATGCTAATGCTAGCCCATAGGCCAACATGACAAATATGATGAAATGCGCTAGCCGAGTGCTAAGGTGCTAGCTAGCTGTCGGATTTTATTTGTCAACTCTAGTGCGATTAGGTTAAAAAAAAAAGTTTGGATCACAAATTAACCGAGTTATAAAGTATAATACGTTATTTTTGTTTTTAAAATGTTTTATTTTTGTCCTCCAGAGAGTACAAGCGTCATCGTTAGCTTATGTTACGGTTGTTTATGTCGTTGCTGTAAAGACTGTGGATATTTGTTACCACTGTCAGTATTTTAATCTTACCATATTTTACAATATGTGAAAGCACCTGTTTCATAATATCGTTTGAATATGTTATGTAAAGTATGTAAGGTTAGCTCGATGTTAACTAGCGTCGATGATAAAAGGCTACATCATAATTTGTGGCTTTGTCATGTTTTTTTCCTCTTCCCTGATATTTAAACGTCGAATAACTTCACGGATTGAAGATGCCAGTTGTTTCGCAACAGGCTAATTAAACAATGAAGTTTATTATAGTTTAAAATAAACATTTTATGCTTGAGTTTAAGTGAAACTTGCTATATAACACGGGGGAAATTAGACTGCCAGTGGATTTCGTAATGTGTCTCTTGGGCCAGTTTCACATCTGATAAGTTGGTAAAATCTTTTGGGAGTTCTGGTTTTCTGCCTGTAGTTATGGGTCATGGTTTCATGGTGTTTTTTAAAACGTTGTTCTGTTTGATTGTTGTTGCTAAATTCGTGTTCTGGCTCAACGAGGCGGTGTGTTCAATCCTGTAGTGTTGTTAAGCTCAAAGGAAATTTCCACTGAGTCTGAGGGGGAGGAATAGACATATTTTAGACCAATAATAATACACGGTGTTCAGAGTCAGTTCCTTATGCAATAAGTACACGATATTCATGGACAGAGCAGCAGTGCCAGCTTGGTTATTTTAGTCATTTTGAGTTTTACATTATGTAACATGGATTTTGTGGAAAATGTTTGCGCACCTTTTATAAAACGAACAAATAAAAACAACTCCTGTTTATAAGAAGAAAAAAAGTCTTAAAGCAATAATTAAAAATGATGACACATCTGGTGATTTGAAAAAACTGACTGGCTTCTGGCATCTATAATAGCATCTAGCACCGTATTCGTACATTTTTAAGTTGCTGTGTTAGCTGTAGATTTAGTTGTGTCCAAAGAGTTTTTTCATGCTAGTCCTGAAATGAAGCAATTCATTCAAAACGATCCAGGGTTCAAATGTGTGAACATCGTGCTGCGATGACCTTGAGGTGGGTAGGAGGTGCAGTTCTGCGTCAGTTGTTTCTCTTAATCTGCAAATCCGATTTAACAAGTATTTCTGGTGGTGAAGGATCTCCACTGCCTTGCAGAAGCAAGAATTAAGTTGGATATTGCATAATGAACACTAATTGTTATGAGAATTATGCTGTTTTTTTTTAAACATCTGCTGCACACACACACAGTGGCTGTGTCCAAAACGACAGGCCGGGTCCTCCGGAGGACCAAGACTCCCCGGTCTCGGCGGGCCGGGTCCTTGGTAGACCGTGAAGACCGGAAAAAAAGAGTCTGTGGATTTGGACGGTCTAGCCTCCCCTCCTTACACTGGCGTACGTCATGTCACCTAGCAACTGTGACGACGCTAAACAAGCAAACTTAAATAAAACTAGAAAAATATCAATACATTAGCATTATTAATATCACAAAACTATAAAATTAACTTAAAGGTAACATTTGAAGAACTAACTGACCCGCTGTAGGTTCATGTTTATTTCGGGTTTTTTATGATGAAAAATAATATTTAAAAACATGTCCATACAAATGATAAAAGTATTAGAATTACAACCGCTAATTTTTTTTAAATTTTTATATCACCATATTTTTATTTAAAATGTATTCTTTTCTCTCGCTTCATCCGCCATTACTAGCGTAAACAAATCTCCGGTCGGGCCGCAATGCATTATGGGATATGCTGGGCCGGGAAGGATCCATCAGACCTGTCCTTCGATTCGGGCCAAAGGAAGGACGTATTTGTCGGACGCATCGGAGGAGTCTTCGGTTTTGGACGTCCTTCGTCGCGGCGCTGTGACGTATGCAGCCGACAAATTCGACCTTCGGAGGACCCGTCCTGCCGTTTTAGACACAGCCAGTGTCACTTGTGCAAGAGATCACGTGGATTTGGGAGCACTTGTGTCGTCGTCGTGCTGCTAATGGATTCTGTTCCTCATAGAAACCCAGAGATAGTCTGACTTAATGCAATGTGTGCAGCTGCACATACAGCTTTAATGTGTCAAGCTAATTCTTTTGAGTGCTTCTGAATGACATAAATAATAACGTGTTAGTGCGCTTAAAAATAAAGTAGGCTAATGTGTAGAGAAATGGAGCCATCTCTTTTCACTGACTTGCTAAAAGAGCTATAAAGCAAGCTGAACTACAGGGAAGTAACAAATATACACAAATGTTTTTTTTAAAGAGGGTTGTTATATGAGAAGTGACTTTCCACAGTGAACAAAGATCATCCTGAGAACTTATCTTTAGAGTTTGTGGTCAATGTTTGAAAGCTGATTCCCTGAAATTTGAACTTTTTAAAATGAGTTATCAAGTGTAAAATAGTTTTAAATATAAACCATTCTAACTTCCTGTCTGTTATGTAAACTACACAGTACACAAATGTCTGGATCTAAGAAAAGGACAGTTATTGACTGAACTTCGTCTCCACCCTTGTTTTTTCTAACAGTGAGCTTTAGTGAATGTTTTACAGTCGTAACCTGTYGTGTTGTGCAACACACGCTGAGCCTCCTCTTTATATGAGGAGTTTAGTTTGTCTTTGGTAGCACAGTTTCAGGTGAAGACTTCAAATGGCCCCATCTTCTGTTTCCCTTTCCAGTATCTCCAGTCCCAGGAGGTGCTCCTGCTGTTGCAGTAACCCGTGTCCGGGGCCTCTGTGGTGCTCCTGATGCCCCTCTCCCACCCCTGAAGATCCCAGGTGGGCGAGGGAATGACCAGCGGGATCGCAATCTTCCAGCTAAAATATTTTACTCTGTAAGTTCAGATTAACTTGTTTTTTTTCAGCTGCTGCAATAATAGTGTGTAAATCCTGTTTTGTTTATTGTTTTTTTTTATCTCACTGCTATCTCTCTGTCCTGGTAGGATGCTCAGTTGTTGGTTCTTGAAGAGCCTTCCCCTGCAAACAGCAGAGTGCGTTTCTTGCTCTTTGAGCCCCGTCGCTCTGAAGCCAAGCATTGTGTCTGGAGGGCTGTGCTGAAGGGGGCCAACCTGTATGTGGAAATTCCTCCAGGAGCTTTGCCAGAGGGCAGCAAAGACGGGTCAGTTTTTTTCCCCTGTGCTGTTATGTTGATTCTTTCAATGATTATGCCAGTAGTCATAGTTGGTGAATGGTTAAAAGATGAGCTGTGCTGGATACAAAATGGGGAGTTTTCAGTAAAGAAAAAGCTCATTAAACTCTCTTGTTTGCTGTGATTTTCCACAGTTTTGCACTTTTGCTGGAATTTGCAGAAGAACAGCTGCAGGCTGATCACGTGTTCATCTGTTTTCACAAGAGCCGTGACGACAGAGGTGAGACTTTCTTGTGTGATTTTTTAGTTAAACTAATTCCTCATCCAATTTTTTATTCTGCACAGGTCAGCCATATTATTATAACCACTGGCCTAATAATTAATAGGTTCTTCTTTTGCCATTAAAATAGTTTTACCTTGTCTGGACAAATATTATCTTGGGGTGTATTTTGGTTTCAGTAATGGTGGGAATATTTAGGGTTGCATTTCATTATTTTGAAACCTAAACGACTGGCTTATGTCACATAAACACTGATTTATATTTTAAAGCCTAATAAAGAGTAACATTACAGGTTACACTAACACAGTAACATGTTTATAAACCCTATTAATTACAAGCTACAGACATTAGTTAGCATAAATCCTAACAACATTGTAAATGTCTTAGAAAAACTATTGTGGGTAGTATGTTTATCACTGGAAATGTTCAAATTTTGCTAAGTCACTACTAAAGACAGTCATATTATGCCGTCAGTTATTATTTACAGACATAAATTCTTTAATGTTTAGTGAAAAATATGTGAAAAACAGAAGTTGCGCAACTCCGCTAGGGCAACTGGTACAGAGCAGCAACTACTCTGCYGACTCTCAAAGCAAAACTGCAATTAACAAAAGCAAAATCAAATTTTGACACTTTAAAAGTTAATTCAGTATCTTCCATGCTCTTGATGCATCTAAAATTAGATTTAACAAATGACCACTGGATAATAGCAGAATAGATCCTTTAGTTAGAAGGAATTTTTTCCATTTACGGGATGATGTTTATGTGCAGAAATGTTTAGGGAAGTGTTAATGATTGTGTTAATGTGATGCTATTTACCTCACATACTKTATTGACTGGTGCATTTGGTAAATATAGAAATTAAATCCATAACAACTGTCAAACATGCACATTTTCTGTGTTTTTGATTAGAACTTTACTGCTTTTAACAGAATTTTTTACATCGTTAAATAACGGGCTTAATGTAACTCAAGAGTTTTTGTAACAACTTTAGTAGAAAAGCAGTTATTCCTCACCATGATTAGGACAGCCAGTTACAATCAGTTGTAGAAATGATCCTGTCAGAGTTCAGAATATGTCAGCACAGCTCATTGTGTCTGAWTTTTAGCCTGGACTTCTGCTTTAATGATCTACAACAGTCTTTGACTAAAAGTTTGTGGGAACTATTAAAAAAGTCTTTAATCCTATACCTCGTGACCCACATGTTTTAGCGGTTTCCCTACTTCAACGCACCTGACTGAAATAATTAGTGATTGACAGGCTTCTGATAAACTTGATGACATTCTGCGTAGGAAATTTAATTATTAGTATCAGGTGTGTTGAAACTGAAACCCTGCTGGACAGTGGGTCAGAGGAGCAGGGCTGGTCTCTGCTCCACAACTGTTTCCTCCCCCAAGTGACTCTATTTCTGTCGATTTATCGTATTAAAAACTGATATGAATACATTTGCTCTAGATTATTTTTTCTTCTATTCTGTATTGATGCTTATTGTTTTCTTTGTTCCTCAGCATCCTTGCTGCGTACGTTCAGTTTCCTGGGCTTTGAGATTGTTAGACCGGGTCATCCTCTCGTCCCTTCCCGACCTGAYGCTTTCTTCATGGCTTACAGCATCGAGCGAGACTCCTCTGACGACGATTAAAATGACGCTGAGCAGTTACAGGTGTTTGTTGTTGTTGATTTTTCACTCATAATGCCCACACATCTTTATCAGTTTTTTGGAAATGAATATTGTCCTTGTTCAGTGAAGTTGAGGTTTCCTATTAAAAGTTTTTTTTTTTTTTTGCTTTTGCCCACTATGTGCTGTGTTTTCGATAAGATTTGCACTAGGCTAAGATGTTGTTACAGCAGGAAGCGAGGGCCCGCATGATATCTGAGCAGAACCTCCTCGCCTCTGTTGACTTTTTGCTCCTCCCCTCTGAGTTCTGATCATCTTTACTGCATATTTATGATCGATTAAAATCCATACTGGTGTAAGTAGATGTTGTCATATTAAGTATCAGTTGATTCCTCTGTTGATATATTTTTTTAATGTTGCATGATTTTAATTTGTTCTGCTGCATAGAAATCTGCATGTTGTAACTACTAAATAAAAGTCCTCACTATAGAGAGAAGTGTTTGTGGTTGTGAGTTAAATGGAAATTCTAATCTGTGAAGATTGATCACATTATAAAAAAGTCACATGGTTTTCACAAATTTAGACGTGGAAAGAAAGATTTGCCTTTTCAAGTGAAAGGAACAATAAAGGCAGTGATAAAATCTAAATGTGTTAAATAAAAACAAACGTATTTGTAGAGGTTGCAGTCATTTATAAAACTGATCAGGATGGGAAGCTTTCAGCAGTTTTAAGTGGTGCAGCATTTTCTGAGGAGCTTTCCATCAATACTAACAGAAATAGAAGTGACAGCTGAGGCTCATAATGCATGTTTTAGCTGCTCTCTCTCCATTATAAACCCGACTCTGTGATCAGAGCGTTCCACAGCTGTGTGGCCACGCCCACCACGGTTTCAGAGTCAGCAAATGACAGAAACTTCAGACACATGCAGTCCTCCCAGTCCAGAGGGAACTGGTCCTGAACCAGTGCCCTCTCTGCCAGCTTCATCACCAGCAGGGCTCGTTTGACCATTAGCCAGTTCTGCACGGCGCCGGCTGAGGGACCTGTGGGACTGAAGAGGGAAACCCGTGGGCCCCAGAGGAGCACCTGAAGCGTGGCCATCACCTCCGTCATCTGGGGCCCAGTTTCACTCTGAAGCTCGGAGGACAAGTGAAGGAGCCCCCTCCGGTATGAAGACTGAAGCTGATCTGAGGCCTTGGGACTTCCTGCTGGGCGGAGGCAGAACTGAATCAAGCTTCCTATTTGGGATTTGATGGAGGTCAGAGGCTGCGGGGTCCCAAACGCAGGAGACTGCGGCATCAGTACCACACGGGGAGAACCGTGTCTCTTCCACAACACTTGGACCCCCTCTGTCTTCATATCCCCCTGGCCCTCACAGGCGTCTCCTTTGAGCAGGTTTCCTCCCGTACGTCCCTCCCACCCGGACCACACCAGAAGGATCTCCTTCGGTCTGAGCTCAGCTGCAGCAGCGCTGTTGTTGTACAGATGATGGGAGCCCGTTAAGATCTGCAGCAACACAACACACACCTGTCTGTCGTAATCCTGACCCTCTGAGCTCTGCAGGGACCAGCTGTCCTCCACGAAGTCCTCCAGGGTGGCGCGCGGTAGATCCCGCTCAACTCTCACACACAGTCCTCCCTGAAGGAAGGACTGGACCRAGTCCGCAGAACCCCGAGTGCTGCCTCCACCTGCTGGCTGAGTGGAGCTGTGTGGACCCGGTGAGGGTTCTTGTGTCGTGCTGTTTCTCAGGACGCCCGGCTGGAAAGAAGCAACGACCTGTTGCACGTTGACGTGTGGCGGCTGGTTATGTTTGTGAGTCGTCGGAGCTTCGTTTGTCCGTTTAAGCACCTGCACGAAAACGAAACCATAAAGTGTAAGGTAACTGCACTGATAAATGCACAGAAAATGATGTCGCAGCTGCAGAATCGGTTAAAAGGAAGTGCTTTTGGTACCACAATAAGTGGAACGTTTGCAAAACCTCGATAAAGATCATGATTGCGATCTACGCAAGTATTAAATCAGCCTATCACAAGCTTCAAACTGCTGGAACAAAAGTTTTAAACATTCATTTAGGTCAAATCTTCACACTTTATTGTTAAAAGTCACACTAATGACTTGTGAATGACTCAACTACAATTATACCTAATTTCTTGTGTTTTTATGTCAGTTGGATGTGACAATCATCCTAAACATGTCTAACAGACATATAACATAAAATGTTATTTACCCTCAAACTGAGCTCCCTCTTTGGGAACTTGGTGCTGCACAGGCTGTAAAACGTGACGTCACCAATCACCCTCGGCTTGCTCCCCTCACCCAGCAGAAAATCTTGCGGCTGAAACGAGCTGAAAGTCCTGYTTGGGACTCGCAGCAGGATCTGTTCTTCAACACTTTGCACCATGCTCCTGAGAGAGAGCAGGTGGCGATGCTGAACCCTCTGAGAGACAAAGTGCTGGTCCACAAAGTTCCTAAAGAGCGTGGAAAGGTGCTCATCTGGCGTGTCAAACCCCAGCTGGGAAAAGGAGGGTGAGGGGGCAGCRGGTCTCCCTCGGGATATTACGGGGTCTTCGGTCTCCTCTTGGATGTAAGTATCAGGTATCGGCGCCATCATGTATACATGATTATCAAAGTTCTGACAGCGTCTTGTCAGAGGAGAGAGCGGGGACAGAGGAGGGAGTGAAGGTGCACTGGTGCCAGGGAGGGAGAGGGTCCGGGTCAGCTTCCTCGGCACAGGCGGTGGAGTCCCGTCAGAGAAAAATCTTTCCTGGTGTTTGCAGGGATCTGAGAAATACAGAGAAACATTTCAGGCTGCATAGACTACTGAAGTCACTGATTTGCAGATTAAAAAAGCAAAGGAAAAAGCATTTGAAATGTGGATTTTATCGCAACATCATTTTTCACCGTTTTACATTGTCCAACTCATTTTCAACGAGGGCCACATGAGCGTTATGGTGGCCCTCAAAGGGCCAGTTGTAATTAACTTTGACTAAACGTGAAACATTCCTCRTCTCATCTCTGTGGCTGAGCACCTCTAACAAAAAATAATTGAGCTCTATGTGGTATTTTCTGCATAGAATCAATGGGCCTCATGCAAGAACCGTTCGTACGCACAGATTTGTTCTTAAGTTGTGCGTACGAGTGATTTAGGAGAATTTGTGGCATTCACC